TGATTTATGAATTTCTATTTCAGCTTAAAATCTTGTCAGTTGACTTACAGCAAAGACTATCACAGACTCTATAAATAAAAATGAAGAGAAGGGATAGTATGTGTCTTCTTGTAAGTTTTGCACATATGTTGCTTCAGCAATCTCCACTCAAAAAGCCTCTTGTGTTCTCAAGCGTCTCTTAAAAAAAAAAATTGTTTGTTGTAGATGGTCAGAATACCTTCATTTTGTTTATTTTTTTGTGGTGCTGAGGATCAAACCAAGTTCCTCACACGTGTGAGGCAAGTGTTCTACCACTGAGCGACAACCCCTATCCCTCAAGTGTGTCTTTATAATAATGATTTCCAGGACCTTTGTGGCTAGGTCTATATGTATCATTGCTTTTGTGTACAATTTAAAATTTGAAACACTGTTTACTGTTGTACAGAACATGAAGGTTTAGTAACCTCCTCTTAGAAGTAGAGATACAAATAAATCAGCTCTCTGTGTTTGAAAAGTCTAAACTAAAGTGCAGTTGTTTGCTTCAGCTTGTCAATGGATATTTATGATGTGAGCATAATCCTATAACGGTTATAGCAGTGAAATACATCCTGTGCAGATAGCTAGTAAAGGAGCTCACAGGCATTAATGCCAGTGGAATTTTAATGCTCCAGAGATGGGAAACATGGCACTTTCTCTGGTTAGTGCTGTTCTTACTGACCACAGTAAAAATGAGGGAATAAAATCAGTTTTAAATACTGTAGCATAGTCGGGTCTGTATACTTAACCAACAGCAAACACCAGTTTCTACTGTTGTCTTGTTTTAATCTCTTGGTTTAGTTAACTGCAGAGTAAAAATGTATAACTAGTAAGATATTAGTTATTGCTTGAAAAATCACTTAAATGAAGTAAAAGCTGACAGATTCTGATTCTGAGTTTCACCTTGTTATGATCAGTATTTTATTTGTGATCCATGCCTGGTACATTCTGTCCCTTCTCATAAGGAGGGAAAGTTTGTAATAGAGTAAGACTTCCACACATACCTCTGCTCTACGAGATGAATTATGAATGTAAATACATTTCCAGTTCGTAAAGAATCACTTTGTGCTTACTTTTTCCTAGAATGCAAACAAAATGAAGCTAAGTTTTATGTATTTAGACTCTCAGAATTTATGCTTTAGAAGAACTTTGGGGATTACATGAAGAATAGTATAGTTTCAACACTGACATTTTTAAACATTAAGTTCGTATTATTTGTGTAAGCTTAATTCAGATTAAGTTCAAACAAATCATGAATTACTGTTTTACATCTACAGAGTATCTCTTTATGTCCTACCAGAATGAGAAAAGGTTATGTAGAAAAGAAATTAATAGGGTCTTTTATTATTATTTTTTAAAATAAGGCAGAAGTTGAGACAATATTTTTGTTAGAGGTTTTTGATGTTAAGATGATTTTGCATAGTTTTTGTGGCTGGGAAAGTTGAGAATTAAGTAAGAAATTTATATTAGTTTATATTTACCTATAACAAGGCTACTTCTAAAAAAACTATTGAGAGGAAAAAATATAACAAAACCTTATAAGAATAAAAATAGTAATAATCATGAGCTAAAGTCAAGGGATAGCCATACCAGAAAATATCCTATAAGGATAGCAAGTAATATTAAAACATGCTATAAAGATGATCTTCTGAAAGCCAAAGCCAAGACAAAAAGATTGTGCTATATATTTGCCTTTATATAGCACAAATATAAGGGAAGCTCTTCAATTTTTTATATAATAAAAAGGAAGCATATGAGCTCACTAGTATTGATGATGTAGAGAGAAGTAATTCTAAAATTATCATTAATAAGTCGCTGAAGTATGAATATCTGTGCCATTAATTGAATGGAGAAATATATGCCCTAGATATTAGCTATTTAGTTAGAAAGTTTGATGTGGTATGAAAATTGAAGAGCTTCCCTTATATCTGTATTTAAATGTAATGAACTCCAGTATACACAAGGCTTACCTGTCCTTACATATATATACACAAACATGTTTTTAAAAATCAGGCAATGGTGATCTTGCCAGATGGTTGAACAGCCATTTCATGGAAGCTCCTAAAATTTTGTACCACAAAAATAAAAATGCTGGTTGCATATTACAGAATTTTTAATGCCAAGTATAGATTATATATTTATATAAAATGCTGTGTGGGTTATATTTTTTAGTAAATCTGCTGTGCACTCTTGAGTCGAACTTTACTGAGATGGGTCAACCAGGACATGAACTGTTAAGTACAACCCAGAGACAGATAAACGGATCCACCCCTGGGACACTGAGTGCTGAAAAGCTTTGATGCCATTAGCAGTTGGTGAAAATCCTAAGAGTAGTCAATAGGTCTCGGGCTAACTTTTGAAAAAACATACATGTTTGCAAAGGAATTCATTTTTGTTCATTGAATTTATTCTTTGAAAACTTATGATTTTCTTTAAATTCACAACTATGTGAATTTATAGAAAATATATAAAGTAGAGAGTAAGAATCCTGTAGTCCCACTAACCACAGCATGCTGTGTGTTGTCTGTTGTCTTCTACTTTTTAGATGTATATCGAATAATTATAATCATGTACATATGCAATTTGACATTTTTCTTTTCATTTACCATTTTCCTACATCTTTACAAAGTTTTCTACTTTAATGGCTGCAAAACATTGAGTCAGATAGATGACTCATAATTTATTCATTGAATTGTCGGGCAGAAAGAAATACAAATTGGCAGAATATATTTTTCACTTTTATAAAAATCCCAGGGAGGATTTTTTAAATCTTGTCTAGCCATTTTATTGGGAAAAGTTCCCAAAATGATTACTGAGTAATTACTGAGTCAAATAATGTAAGCTTTTTAAGGCCACTTTTACATACTTTGTTCACCCTATAATTTTTGCCAATTTGTGCTTCCACTAGCAAGGCAGGAAGCTTCTTTTCTAACTAGGTAATGTGCTTTAAAAGGGAGGCAGTTTTATTCTTTTTAAGCCATACTTTTTATTAGACAAATAAAACAGTGCCATAGCAAGATCATAATACAATGTAAATTATTAATATGTAAATGCTTTTTTTATATGCTATCAAACATTTAAGTTGGTAAACTTTCCTATAATAATCTTGATTAGTATTAATTTGCCTAATTTATTTTTAATATATTGAGAAAGATAAACAGCTTAATCAGTTAATATCTGAATTATCATAATTTCTGAACTAATGCACTTTAAATGCACTTGGTTATAACCTAAACATGTAGTAAAATTCTATTCGTTGTGCCTACCTTTAATTTCTTTAAATATTTAAAAAATATTATAATAATTATATTATGCAATTTAACAATGATTTCATTGTTTCTAGGAGTGCTACATTCCTGAAGCAAAAGAATGGAATATATTTATAGTTCATTTTAAACTAGCAAAGTCTTAAGACATTAATTTAATTCAATTTTATATTGACAAAATGTTGTTCTAAGTTTATGAATTAATGACTTATAAGTCATGATGCCAGATTCAGAGGGCCTAATTGAATAAACAGTAGGGGTGCTGCTTAATGTATCACAATGTATTTGGATTTTACTCATAATTTAGATGCACGATTTTAAGTTAACAATATTATTTAGAAAATATACTGTATTCAAAATAAAAAGAGAAAATTGAATTGATATTATTTTTCATATTAATAATGTAAAGAATTATAGTTGTGGCTTATAATATGTTACATGTTATATTATTCCCTGAACCCTAAGCCACCTAAATTCAGAGACAGTAAGGGGAAAGTAAGTAATAAAATTGGCAATTATGGTAATAATGTTGCCTCCAAAGTTATTTAGAGACAGATAATTTCATGGCTGCTTGCCTTTTAGCAAAAGCTAATAGAAATTCCTAACTCCATTTTTCCTTTATGCTTTTCTGTTTCTCCATAAGTTTCTGAAATTTCAAAATTTATGGAGCAGTCATGTTTGAAAGCAAAATGGACAAAAACCACACTTTTACATTTCAAGCTTTCTTCTTCAACAGTAGTTTTTTGTTCTTTTTGAATTTTGCCATGCTATGGATACTTAAAACAAACTTACATTTAGAGGGGAAGAACTAGAAGGTCTAAAATCTGAAATGGTTTATGAACAGATGTTATAAGAAATAGAAAACTCTCAACAGGTTGATAATCCTGGTCCTAAACTGGAAAATGTTGTGCTGGCTTTTAGCCATTTTGAGGAACCAGAACATGGTTCATGGAATGCCGTGGATCAGCAATGTCATACTAAAAGAGAGCAAAGGAAACAGATCCTTCATCACTGATTTGAGAATTTGTTTTCAAATAATTCTCAGATTCTTTACAATTATGTATGGAACAATATGTCTACACAACCTTCATTGAAAAGTTAAGAAGTTGGACTGGCAAATTCTCTTTTGAATAGTCCAAATAAATAGTTACTATTTGGAAAGAACACATCATGGCAGTGTGCAGCTGTGGTCAACAAAATTTGGTCAACAAAAATGGTCGTGATCAAGAATAAGTCTATTGCAAAGGCTGTCATAAAGTAGAATCACAAAGACAGCATCTCTTCCTATTCTCATGATTCCTTAATCTCTGTCTTTTGTGCTAAAATGTGCTCCTCGTGTATACATTTTAGAAAATCAAGTTACATAAGAAAGCATTTTAATTTTAATTCATTATTAGAAGCATATAGGGTGGCAGCTTTGATATTATGATAGCCTTTGTAGTGGTGTTGTACTTCAGATGTCAGTAACAAAGTTAGAGTTCTGAAATGTTTTTCCATACAAATTTTAGCATAGCGTCAGTTAGGTGAAGTTACTGTGGAAAAGATTAATGAACCATCATGCTTTGACCCAAAGAAAAGAATGTATGACTTTGTGTCTCATGTGAACATTGCTGTTTCCTTGGGTAATCATTTGTTTTATTATGGTATGAAAACCTAGGTGTTCTTAAACTTCTTTATAATTGCTTCAATATTTCAATAAGGATTTCTTTTTTTCTTCAGGGCCGGTGCATAAACTTCTCCAGAGTTCCATTTCAGTAAAGGAAAGCAAGAAGACCAAGAAGGTACAAAGATGGCACATTTTCACATCCAACCAGATGAAAAAAGTCAAGTGCATTTCAGAAACTTTTGGAAGAGCAGCTTAATTTCTCTCCGTCAGGAAATGCTTTCTCAGCCTTCTGCTTTTTTTGCACCAAATATTTTCAAACACTCACTTGACTATCTACAAGGGTGGGATTGATATAAAGAAGAATGTTAATCTGCACACTGTGGTTTATAAAAGTAACTTTATTTGAGTGTGTTGAAGAGGCAAAAGCAAAAAACAGCCACAATGTAAAGGTGATATCAAAACAGACCACAAAACCAGTAGCCATGATGGGTCTTTCATGGAGATAGGACCTTTTAACATGCAAATATGGCGCTTGTGTTTTTGTACGACAAAATCTGTAGCTACAGGCAGAGTATGAAATTTCCCACCAGGCTAAGCAAATATTGGAGTCCATTGCCTTATAGCTATGTCAGATCACAAAATCCTTCCAAGTCCCCTATCACAGTGTGCCTCACGGGAAGTTTCTGACTAGAAAATCTTGTCATTCTAACACTGAAAAGTGCACACGCATGACAAAAGATAGACAAGATGCCTCAAGGTATTGGTAGCAAGCAAGATTTTGCTCTTTAGTTTTTGAAAACACCTTTCTTTCATTATGCACTTGGGACAAGAAAATTAATAGAGCGTTATTCCACTGGAAGACAGCCTCTCACCAAAGATCTGGAGTGTAGTTTAAAGGCCTCGTGATTTGAGACTTTGTCCCTGAGACTGGTAGATTTCCTCCTTTTCCTGTGTTTAGGAGTACTAGTGCATAAAGCATTAATATCTGTAAACATACCTAGGAGTTTGTTTTGCTTTTAATTTAAAGGAAGCAGTAACCACAAAGCTTCTGCTCAGGGTTTTTTCTTCCTTCAAGTCTCCAAGGGCTCTTCAGCGTCACAAGCCAGCAACTCTCTTTGCATGAAAATTTCAAAGTTTAATTAATATAATTAAAGGCAACAGCAAGCAGCAGCCTGTGAAGATTTTGCTCATCTTTTTTATGCCTTTTGACATTGAATGACCTATTACTGTATGCGCATTACTTGGATTTTGAGGAGCACTCTACTTTGGTTATGATTCAGTAGAGGAAAAAGACCTCCTTTCTGCAGTTTATAAATTAAATTTTCAGGAGGATCGCCATCAAAAAACATTGACAATGTATGTATTATAATTTTTTAGAAAAACCACCATCGTGTCACGTCGACGATGCCAGATTATGTTAGCGTGAGCAGAAACACTGTGGGGGAGGAAGAAGGCAGCAGCTGAAGAAAACAGCTCAAATGATCTAGTCACTTTCGATACTGTACTTCAGATGCGAAATGGATATTCGACTCGAAACCTGACAAAGCGCGCCGGCTTTGATGTGAACTGGTATAGACAATGACCAGTGGCCGGGTCAGTGGGATGTCTCTCTGTGAGCACAAAGGCTTATCAAATGACACTAAAAATAAGTTCAACAACCATCACATTGGAAGGGAGAAGGCGAACATTTCATGTTTGGCGGGCATATGAGTGCACAAGATGGAATGAACGATTTGGAGCATCCTGGTATAATTACCCCCATTGTGCTTTTAATGGAAATTTCAGAGGATGGGGAATGATTCTGTTGGTTGGTGTCCAGGTTTTTGGCACAGCTCCAAGAAACCTTATGTACACACACAAATATATGTATATGTACACACACATGCACACACATACATACACCCCACACTTATGTATTCTCTGGCTTGAATCTTTTGCTCAAGTTTATTTATGTCACTGGCTGGCTGGATCCAAAGTCATGTGTCCACATATTCATAAATAAAATTTTTATCTGTGCCTTTGTTATTCTTTTCTTTAAGTCCACATGAAGCTCATGCCTTCTTTGGTTGAATATAAAATTGTTCTAGTTAGTTTCAGGAATGGAATTGTATTCAGTTGTAAAATATCCAGTATGTTTAGAGATGATACTATTGGCAGAATCCATGGGTACCAGTGCAATATGGAAGCCTGACATAGGATTTCCAACCCTTTCTTCATGAGTTCTTGTACACCCTTGTTCTATGTTTGCATCTAAAACAGGACCTATTGCTACTTTCTTAAATACGCCCTTCATTTCTGATCAGTGCTTAGCCATCAATGCTATTTTAAGAGCATCAAGGATACCACAGTAGAAGCTAAGATTATGGGTTTTCTATTAATTATTTTAAACTTTGCTAGTACCATATAACATACTTATATTTTGCTACAGGAGCAATATAAAATAAACCTCTGCCTTTAAGTGGCAAAATAGCTTTCTGGAGATTTGTAATGCAAATAATATGAAGAGTTCCCCATGGAGAGGGAGGGGCATTGGTCTATATGTAGATTGAAGAAAAACATACCATTCATAAAGTTCCAATACAGACTGAATTGCATTGTTCTTAAAAATATGAACCAGATCTGTATTATGCATTTCTCTGATTATTTTAACCAGCAAATGAGAATAATTTGTTTGAAAGAGTAGTTTTTTCACCAAAGAACTCCATCAAAAATCCCTACACTTCTCAATAGGTTAGAATAAAACCTCTTCTATAAGTTTTGTGACACTTTATATATAGAGAGAAACAGCTCCAGTGTAATTTTCTGGACATGATGTCAGTCAATATGTCCTTTCTTGTACAAATGAATAAGTCTTATCCATCATCCATTTGTGTTGCATAAGGTTGCAAAAACAATTAAGTGGGAAATGACTCCTAACTTATGTGTCTACTCTGCCTGGAAAGAAAGTTTTGAAGGCATCTATATATATTTCATAACAATGTCTGTTCTTTATGGATTTGATCCATAAATATTTATCTATCTGAAAACTTTGATACTTGGAATGTTTTCCTTAAAGCATTTGGTGCTCCAAGAAAAAACATTTGGTGCTAAGAGTTGCAGCACTGATGCCTTTCCCCAAGTTAATTCTATTTTAAAAATTTGTATTTCCTTCCCAATGAGATGCAGAGTAAAATTTGAGAGTCTCCATTGACTAGGGAGCAGCATCTGTCATCTATGGTTAATTACTATTTTAACAAAAATATATAAGATTTAAACCCCCTATATTTCAAATTGTTAAGGAAAGAGCTGATTTACTTATATTTCCATTGAACCTTATTTTGGCCATTTAGATAATAAATGACACACTATTTGTTTTTATAATAAATTCTCACTGGATATAAGAAAGATCTAGGAGTCCCTGTGAACTTCATTTTATTATCTGAGTATCACTAAACATTGTTTACTGCTCAGAGGTGGATTTATTTTCTTTAAAATTCAAACTAAATCTATATTATGGCTAACAAAGTTGTTAAAAACATTTTTGACTGGTTGTCTTACCTATATTAATTTTTTTAAGTTCAAGAAGGAATAATATAGCCAGGTGTGGTGGGTATGCCTATAATCCCAGTGGCTTGGGAGGCTGAGGCAGGAGGATTGTGAGTTTAAAGCCAGCCTCAGCAACTTATTGAGGCACTAAGCAACTTAATGAGACCCTGTCTCTAAAAATATTAAAAAGGGCTGGGGATGTGGCTTAGTGGCTAAGCATCCCTGGGTTCAATCCCTGGTCCCAATAAATAAATATAAATAAAATAATAAGAAGGAATAGTATAGGTAGGTTACAAATTCTATAAATATTGTCTTGTAACTTCTGCTTCCATGTGTATGTTGTATTTTAGTTACGTCACCTTCTCTGGGGAGTTTTTAGAATTTTATTACTAGTAAAATTTTTGGTATGTTTATATGAACAGGATAGATATATGTGTTACATATCTATTTTAATATGAAAGGACATATGATTGAGAAATGTAACTCTGGTACATCTATTAATATAAAGAACAGGCCGATGGGGCTGGACAACACTGAATAGTCATTGAAGCCGTATACTCTAGTCTTGGAGTTAGATTAATAATTATTGAATTTCTATGGCATATATCTGAATATAATTTAAGTATATTCCTACTATAAAAAGTTAATTCAACCAGATAGGAAAAATAATTTAAAAAAAAACACTACCATTTTGTAGGCCTTGTATTATTTTTTTTTTAATGATTGGTTAACTGACCTATATTAATTGTGTTCTTCTGCTCAAAAAAAAAAAAAAAACCCACAAAAACTCAAATCAGAAAGTACACAGCATAACATGCCAATTTATGTAAAAACATGCTTGCTCATGTTTAGGAATGAGAGACAGAGGTCTTAGACCATAGACCTCACCACTAGCTACCTTGCTGACACTGAGCACATCAACTTCTCCACCACAGGCTGAAGGGATTGAAGGTACTTAAAGTTCCTTTCAGCTCTGATGACATTCCTATTAATATGGTCATATACACCACTGTGTATTTATGTATCTCATGTTTTTAATGACTGCTTTATTTGTAAAGCATGGTAATAAATTGGCTTTGTAAACTACCATTTAATTACACAAAAGATATTAAAATATATCATTTGATGATTAGCCATGATAGAGTAATTTCTTTGGTTTCTTATAAGCAAAAAATTTTTAAAGAGGCAAATAGTAATATAGTTTATATCTGACAATACCCCTCAAAAGATGAGTAAAATATTGCTAAATATATCTGTATATTTCATGCTGACGTTTCAGTCTCATCAGGTATCTCAAAGGCATACATAAAGAGACAGAAATTCTTATGAGACATTTAAACTACCAGTTTAAATGACTGTAATACTTTGTACATTGTAGAAATATAAATTATTAAACTTCTTTTCCCTTAGTCAAGTTGGGAAACAAAAACTCCACTTAATCAAAAATAGCTATGCTTGTGATGCCCACAGAAAGTGTTCAGTGGAAAATATTTTAAGGAATAAATTGACACAGCTTAGAATCTGTAGCATATTAGAATTGCTAACCTTTCATAACACTTTCATAGTCTTAATATAGAAGAATACTGTGAAAGTAAGAATTCAAAATGTAAAAAGGTGGACCCCAAACATTGTCTCCTAATTACTATAAGTTTTTTATCTTAGATTAATTATACTTGTGGGTTGTAAATGTTAAGGGCAAGACAAAGGAATTTGTGACAGTTATTAAAATACACATTTATGTAGATTCCATTTGACTAGAAACGTTGGACAAGAATTAATTTCTAGAGTGTAAACTCTTAACAAGCTATACATTGCCTCCATGAACTAAAAGGCAACATGATTTTAAACAGTTTAGATTGAAAACAAAAGGAACAGGGAGCTTCCAAAACCATAGATGATGGAGAAAGAAAATTGTTTCATCGTATGCTAAATTAGAAGCAAATCTAAACCTCTTGGCATGCTTACGTACTCCACCATCTGATTTGTATAAGTAATTGGGGAAAGAAAAACTCATAATATAAAACAAAACTAACCACTTGTAGCAGATGACACCTGTAAATGAAATTTACCAGTTGAAATTTTGATGTGAAATGAAACTATTATCATGATCATACTAAAGTTTTCTTTTGAGTTCTTTTTTTAACATCTTCCAATTCTAAAAGTTTCTGTTAATTAAACAGAGCAATGACAGACCCTCATTTTCTTTAAATACTTTGTTTGTGTGAGGCTGTCACACGGAAAGAAAGATTATATTTTAAACAATATGTTCAAGTGTAAAAATCTTCAACAAATTCTGAATGTTTTTAAAAATGGGGGAAATTTTCAAGACTTAAAATTAACATCTTGGGATTCTTAATAAGGAGCTATTCAGAAAGTTTGAAAGAATTTAAATAATTTTTAAAGAGGATATATAATACTACGTTATGATCTGGACTAGTCAGTGTATTATTCTGAGGGATATTGATATGATTAATATATTGTAGCACAATGCTAAAAATAGAAAATTATAACGACAATAATGGTTGTTCAGCATCTCTGTATACCTTTCATTGCCCAAAAAAGTATTGAGATAATGCATTTATAAGGTGAAATAAATGATTTTAAAACTTCTAATTCAAAATGAGATGAAGGCCAATTCATAAGTGATTTTAAAATTATGTATCGAGATAGTAGAATTAAAAATAATATATTTCTTAAATTATTCCATGGTGGGTATTCCTTTCTTTTAAAAAGTATTTCCCTTAACTCTTCAAACATCAGTCTGACAAATCTCAACCCAATGGTATTACTGCATATGTTTATAATTTGTAACTTTTAAAAACATTTTAAATGTCATTTAAATAGAGAAGGAAGGGATTGTATTAGTTTCCTATTGCTGCTATAACAAAGTTCCACAAACTTAGTGGCTAAAACACTAATTTATTTCCTAATGTTTCTGAGTGCAGAGGTCCAAAATCAGTTCCAATGAGCTAAAGACAAGCCTGTAGCTGGGTTCATTCCTTCTAGAAGCTCTAAAAAGACACTTCATTTCTTCTTCTTTCTCACCTATATTTCTTGGCATGTGGCCTCTTCATCCATCTTCAAACTGTATCACTCCAACTTCTGCTTCAGTTACCACAGCACTTGTCTCTCCAATCTTTTGCCTCCTTTTCTATAAGTACCACTGTGACTATATCACACCCACCTATATAATCCTGGATAACTTCTTTCTGTCAAAATCTTTAACATGATCATATCTGCATAGACCCTTATGTTGTACAAAGTGGCAGTCAGGTTCTGGGGATGAGGACATGGATATCTGAAAGGACCATTTTTCAGTCCATCACAAAGCTTGGAATAATTTTCCTTTAATGTAACATTTTCCTTGTATCTGACACCATAAGAAAATGACGAGTTCAACTTTCTACTTAAGATCCTTACCTGCCCAAATCTGTAATCTTGTCATCCCAGTGTTGGTTTCTTTTACATTTTCTCTTTCTTCCTTTTTTTAA